GTTCCTGTGTGATAACGGTTCTGTAAGGACACTTTTCCTGTGCTGCAGCAGTGAAACCGGAGCACTCTGTGTATCTGTAGCTCGGACTGAAACTCGATGCCTGCAGAACGTCGGCTGATGAAACCCGAGGAGAATCTTTCTGTTTGCAAACTGAACTGCAGAATTTGGAGGAAGGCTAAAAATACTACACACAATACTCTCAATGCATGTACATAGAGGTACTTTGGAGTACTCTGAGGTACTTCAGTGTTTACCAGGTTTAACATGTCAGATGTTCTCTGCAAGAGTTCTCCTGTAAGGTTCTGTAACAGTTTCATGAAAAAGCTGCGCAGTCCCTTTAAATCTGTTCCTCGTTAACCTTCTTAATGACATCACAGGTGAGGTGTCACCTGGCTGCTGGTTACAGGTGATCACGCTGTGAGGATCAGAGACCTTCTACCTCTGATCGTGTCCACTGATCGATTGATTGATTGACTGATTGAGTGAGTGTCAGGGGTTGGTCACCTGTAGGCCCCGCCCTCTCTGACTCACCTCCTTCTCACAGATGAACAGCTGGTCTCCTCTCAGAATCACAAAGCGGTTCTTCCAGATCTCTCTGAAGATCCCTTTGCCGCAGAACTTCCTGATCCAGCCCACTTTATCAGGCGGCGCGTTCTGCGGCGCCGACTCGGACGCGCCCTGAGACAAGAAACAGGAAGCTGTCAGAGCAGGTGAGGAGCAGGGAAAGCTGTCAGCACGGCTCCAGAAGCTCAGCCTAAATCAACCTCATCTCCTCAGTTTGTATTTTTAGTCTTTATTTATAATACTCTACTTGTGTTTCTATTCATGCTTCTATTACTGTTTCTACTCTGTTTTCTGTACAGACTGGGAGACGCTGATTTATATGACTTTTTGTCCTTTATGTCTGTTTGTCTGTTTCTTCATCCTCACCTGTGTGAACAGACAGGTGTGTAGCACCCACAGAGCCCGCCTCTAACTGCTTTCATTCTGAGTTCAGCCGGTTTGGGGTCAGATGGTTGTTATGCAAGTCCATTAAAGGCTGTAACTGAAACTGGAGCTGCTGAGCAGATTAACCATCACACCACATTCAGGTCACTTTAAAGCCTCCATGAGCGGCCTGGACCCCACCGACCCTCACCGACCCTCACAGACCCCCACAGACCCTCACAGACCGGGTCACTGTTAAAAACATCACTTCTCCGTCTGTTTGTTGGCCTTTTGGCACTTTTTAAGCATCAGCAGAGTGAGGCCTTTATTATGAAAACCGGACGTGGGTTCTTGGGGAGCCTGCGGCTCTCAGCCTTCAGAATAAAACTAATCCTCGGGCTTTTGTTCTTCGAGTTCTGCTTTAACGGAGAGAGCCCCGGGGGTCGCCCTGTGTCCCGGTATCACTCACCCGTTTCCCGGAGCTGCTCTTCTTCATGCTGCCGGTGTCCGGCGGCTGATCGCGACACTTCTCCCACTTTCACGGGAACTCCGTTATCCGCTCGATGGAGACTCGGAGCGCCGTTAAAGCAGTCAAACTCCTGCAGGGGAGACCGGAGCCTCCGCCTCAGCTCCGCCGCTCCTCGGCTCTGTTGCTCGGTCTCACTGCGCTGAGCGACCCGCTGCTGTGGCTGCTGCCGGGCTCCGCCGCACTCTGACCGGCCAGCAGCCGCTCCGTGCTTGGGTGTCCGGTTACTCCTCCTCCCTGCCCCCCCCCCCGCCTCCCCCGGTCTGCCCGTTGGCTCAGCGGCTCATCGGCAGCCCGGAAGCGCCCCCCTCCGGCGGACAGCGGGAGTGGCCGAGAATGAGAGCTACTGAAAGCGCTGACGTCACAGGGTGGGCGGTAACGCTCGAACCTGCAGTTCCTCTGGTGTCCAGCAGAGGCTCCGCTGCTGGGAGGACAGTCTCCTTTTGGCTGAACAGACCCGAGACCTGAAGCTGAGCCTGGTTCCAGGAACCTGAGCCTGGTTCAGCTTCAGGAAACACACGGCACTCTCTGTAATCCCACAGACATCTGTGCTAATCCACAGCATGATGTAGATTATGGCGTGTTCACAGAGATAATCCACGAGGGTGAAATGTGTCACACAGACGCCGCCTGCGCCTGGCGAAGGAAACTGACCTCAGCCTGTGGACACAAGCGGGGGAGAGAGGAGGAGGGAGGTGATCTCTGAAGTACTGACAAATATCTGAAAGCCTCAAACTCCAAAAAATGAAATAACTGCTGGTGATTTATGGATGGAGGTGAGCACCATCAGCTCACAGCGAGCAGGTCATCGAAACCAAACGACTCAAATGTAGAGAAACAAACTTTAATCAGAAAGAAAACGCAGACTCTTTCTCCGACCCTGCTCACCGAACCAACACGACCGTCTTTACTGTGCTCCATTACATGATCTTTAATTAGTGCCCTCCTGTGGCCGTCGCATGAACTGCAGCTCGTGCTTGCACTGTTAGCATTGACCAAAACTGTGATGAAACGCGCATCAAACTGCCCCAACATCCTCATCAACTCTGAAATCACGCCATGAACTGCAGACTGCAGTTTTGGTTTGCAGATGGTGTCCGCAAACCGCAGACGCCATCTGCAGACGCCGCGTCCTCACGAGTCTGCAGCTGCTCTGAAGTCCTCGTCTCTGATCTGCATCTGGTTGATCTGACAGATGTTTCCAGGTTCGGCTCTGATCTGGAGTCAGTTTCAGTCCCAGTGTAGATCACAAACTGGGTCACAGGGAGAGGTGGCGGCTCATCTGCAGATTATCCCCGACCCCATCATTAAAGGGACAATCCGCCCAAAACAACAACAACAGCAGATTAGAGCCGCAGGTTCAACCCGATCAGCTTGGACTCACCCACGGCCAACAGCACCGCTCACCTATAAATAATAATAAACAGTAACAATGAAAAAATAACTTCAAAAAATAAATAAATGATTAAAAAGGAAACTCTGAAAACTCAGAAATTATTAAATTAAATAGAAAAAATATTAAAATAAGGATCAATTCAAATCATAAATCAAATCATATAAAATCGTAACAAATAAAAACACAAATTGTTAAAGTAATAATTATGAAGACACAACTGGAAAAGATATCAAAACACATAATAATAATAATAATAATAATAATAAATATAAATATTAACCTAAAAATGTTTTCATGACATAATAAATCAAAAAATAAAAACGTATCAAAGTTTTGTGACCTGCAAGTTTTACGAAAGTAAAACCTGATTTTATAAACGATTTATTTTTAGTGTTTCATGAGACGCCCAATCAGATCGAAGCTGCAGACTCACTGCCTTTGGTCTGTGACGCCCCCTGGTGGTTTCTGTGTGAAGTGCAGCAGCGTCTGAATGATTCCAAACATCAGCACAGAAACGTCACTTTATTTTTTATTCATTACAAATAAAATAACAGCTGGCAGCTTCAGTCAGACCAGTCGGCCTCGCCGTGCTGCTGCACACGCTCAGTTTCCCTTTAATGAAGCAGATCCTGAAACGAAGCTGGAGGTACGGAGGTGAAACTGAAACAGGTTCCTCTGCTCGGCCTGCGGGCGGATCCGTGAAGTCTGACAGCGTTTAAAGGTCAAAGTTCAGATGCAGCAAAACAAACGAATCAATCCAAGAAACTGAGATCAGCAAAAACAGTTTAATTCACCCAGAAAGACATTTACACACGTTTCACTGCAGGGGGCGCTCTGCACATAAAGTCTGAACTGATGAGGTCACCACGTGTCACACAGGTGCACGAGCTCCTCGCAGCGGTTTGTAGATGATTTAGCTCCTTTATGACCAGGACACGCTACAAGAAAAAATCAAACTTGGCAATAATCACTCCAGACGTCACAACTGATTCATTTTTCATCCCAGAAAGAAAAAGAAAAGCGGTCGCCGCACCGCACCATGCTGCTAACATCCACACGCGGCGTTTACGTGGCGTGTGAGCAACGCTGCAACTCAAACACGTAACGTTTGCTCACGTATTTGTGAAGAAAACCTTTTATTAAACAAACAAAGACGTTTGGCGTACTCGTGACTTAGCATGCTAACAGGCGACGGTGAAAAGCCACGGCGAGTTTGAACCTTCGCCTTCGTGCTGGATGTCCGTAGATGCTAACGGGTTTGTTTCGGCGTGAATAACACCGTCTGGTGTTTTTGATCATTTGAAATCCACCACCATAAATCAGCACCGATCAGCTGATCGATCGGGCAGGTCGGGTTTTTACATCCTTCAAAACAGGAAGTCCGGTTTCTACATCTCATCGGCGTGTCCCGGTGTGGCCTGATCGCGCCGTCCTCCTCGGACCGTCGACTTCTGGCCGAGGGCGCCGGGTTCCGTCTGCTCGGCAGCAACCACCGAGCCGTTTCCCGACCGGCTCCCCTCCGTACCGTCGGCGGCTGCGTGTTCGTGGTTTTCTCTTGGTTCTGGGAGATTCGACGTTCCCTCAGGAGGTTTTGATTGGCTGAGAGCGGGGGGCTCAGACTGCAGGGACGTCGCACCGTAGGCGTCGTCTGAGGTCGGCTGGGAGGACGACGGATCCGTCAGGATGTTTCTGGAAATCACTGGAAAGATGAAAAAAGAAATCATGAGTTCAGCGGTTTGACGTGCTGAGGAGAAAACGCGACCGAAGTTATTCCTAAGATTCATTTTCCAGTCTCTGAGGCGACATCCCTGCCACACCCACAACATGAGACCAGGATTTGATCTTTCTGTAAACCAGACGTGTTTACCTGCGTCGCCATATTTACACAGCGAGCGTCAGGAAGCGCTCGAGCGCCTGAAGAACTATTTTTATCCTACAAACTCCCAGCTTCCCCAAAAGCCTCCATCTAAACCCTGTGCTGCCATCACAGATGCTCAAACAGGAAGTGATGTCATCAGGGACCGACCTCCTGTGGGTCTGTAGTCGTCGTCTGCACGGTGGCGGCTGAACGGGCTGAAGCTCGGCAGGATGATCAGACCGAGAGAGACGAGGATGATCTGAAGACACACACGAGGAGCAGGGTCAGAGTGTGTGTGTGTTCCTGTATAGCTATCTTTGTGAGGACCAGCAGTCACTGAGGACACACAACCCGGTCCTCACAAGTCTGAAGACATTTTGAAGCTCAAAATGTGGTTTTAGTGTCAGGGTTACAGTTAGGTTATGTTTAGGTTCAGGCTTTCATTCTTCATGGTTAGGGTTATTAAGGTCAATGAAGGTCCTCACTAAGATAGCTGAACGGGCTTGTGTGTGTATGTGTGTGTGTGTGTAGGAGCAAAACTAAAACAAACAAACAAACAAACAAAAACAAAACAGACTTCATTCCACCTTAACAGGTTTAAGGTGGTCGTACCAGTAGGCAGGTGCTGGTCTGGGCTCCTTTACTGACCGTCTGCTTGATGAGAGACTGAAGCTGCTGCAGCTGAGCCAGCAGAGACCTGAGGAGCAGGAACACAGGGGCTGGTTAGGGCTTACCTGAGCAGGTGAACCAATCAGCAAGCAGCAAACTCAGCAGGAAGTTCAAGAAGAAACTAAAAAGTAAATCTGACTGTTTCAGACAGACTCGGGTCCTGACTGAGCTGTCCGAGGTTTTAAAGTGAGAGCACAGTGCCCCCTGCTGGTGGGAGTCAGAACCACAGGGAGGTCTCACTGATGTGGATGTTTCTGCTCCTGTTTGTGTCAGAAGTGTCTGGAATAACATGTGTGTGGTATTCCTGAACACACTAACAATTAATCCCAACTTTCCTCCTTCATCCTCAGGATTCAGGAGTGAGGGTCACCTGATCAATTATCCTGGAAAAGCTCATAAATAAACTCATGTCACCAAACTGTGTGAGATTACAATAAAACCTACAGAGTGTGAGCTCGACATCGTTCCCTGTGTTTATGTCACAGGAAGTGACCTCTCTGTGACCTTTTATGCCTAACGATCAATAATCAGTAAAGCGTGTTCATACGTGTTACGTTTCTCCAGCTGCTCCACCGTCCGCTGCAGCTCTTTGTTCTGCATCGAGCACGCCGCCGCCCTGTCAGCACGCACGCACACACACGCAC